CCGTTAGAGATAAAGTGGGTTCTAGCTGTGAAAGAAAAATTTAAAAACAACAGCTGAAATAGTGAAATAATGATAAAAAAAATTGATTTTAATTGGATTAATAGCTATACCAAACAAACTCTATATTGTTTGCTCATAAGTAAAAAGTAAGTTGAATAAATATTTTTATAGGTTAAAGTTGGAAATAAGTAATTTAAATATCTCAATAGTAATTCAAGTGTTCATTTTACAACTTCTGTAAATAAGAAAAAATGTAAACTATCCGTACATGTTTCGAACAAAAGTTGTGTAATAGTTAACTTAGCCGAGCACAAATGGTATGGGTTGGATTGGATCTGAATGGAGCGAAAATGTGTTGGGTTAACACACGAACCCAAGGTTTAGCTTTAGGTGGAAGAGGGACTCGCCCAATTTAAAACATCAAGCCTTTTCTTATTTTCAAACTTCAAGCGCATGCTAAATTTTTTATTAGGGAAAAGTACTGAAAGCGTTAGGAAGCTCAAAATTATCCTCTCTCCCATTAACATGAAAATATCCAAGTACTCAGAGCATCCTCCATAATATATTCCACATTTTTTGCTCCAATTTGAGGTCGGAATTGCGAAAAAGTCTCGGGCTTCTGTTCAAGGAGTGGCTTTGTTGGGCTCTTTTTTTGTTTAATGACTTGAGAATGCCATGATGAGTGAGCTTTTGAGGGTATGGAGGAGACAATACGTGAGTAGAAGATGGGGATGGAATCGGTGTTGGTAGAAGGGAGGGGGAGAGAGTGAGCGACTGAGTGCCTCAACTAACTCATAGAGAAGCTATCTGTTGGATTATAATAATTTATTTCGGTCCAGAAATGAGATATATCTCTATAACTAAGAATATTGACTTTCTATTCAATTTTATGCATGGATAATATTATAAGGCCTAATATAGGCGATTATGTGAAGCAGATGCATCAAGTCTAATAAACGTAGTCCAATTTACCTTCCCCTATACTTGTCTGTTCTTGCTGGCTTTTGATTATTTCATTTTCTTAATGATGAATTGATGATGTAATATTGAGAAAGTAATTGTTATATTTTACACTCTCATCCTTTCATTTTCAGTATCTACTTCGACGAGCCTCTTTGACAGAGGACGATGCATTTGCCTTTCTGAAGACTGATTGCGATGGCGAGTACATTACCCTTTCTGGTTTCTGTGAAGCATTGCGACAGGTTCATGATACCTCAGTTTTATGAACTTGGACGTGGGTTGAGCTAGACATTCTCACAGCTTAATTTGATCGGCCACTGCTATGGACTGAGTGTTGAAGAGACAAGCGGAGACATTGACGGGAATGGTGTTCTTGATTACAACGAATTTAAGGTATCATAGCAGAATTTACTCATTTTAGGGTCAGTTTGATTACAAAGATTAAATTGAATTGAATTGAAAACAAATTCCAGGGAATTGAATTGTCTAGAAATTGTTTTCCTGAGAATTGTAAAGTATTGTGTTTGATTGGTATAATTTTCCACATGAAAAATGTTGAAATAAAATTATTTATTAATGTTCTTTTGGTTTTGTTTTACATGAAAATTGTAGATTAAAGGGATATAATAAAATTTGTTTCAATTGTCAACAAAAAAAATAAAAATCAAAATCAAAATCAAAAAAATCATCTATGGAACACAAATTCTCACCAATATGGTGAGAATTCGAATTCAAAAAAAAGCTAGAAAATACTGACATGGCAACCAAATGTGGAAAACGAATTACTTGAAAAATTTTGTCAATCAAATAAGCCAAAAGTGGAAGTTGGAATTTGTTTTCCATTTTCCCTAAAAGATAAGTGGCTATCAAACATAGCCTTAGTGATTTAATATTTCGATAGTGTGTATGTTTTTGTTTTTTACCTTTTCTTCTGTATTATGGGGGCATTGCAGCAGCGAATGTGGAATACGACATGGTCAGAGAAAAGAGACGAAGTGAGCAATGAGGTTGGAGACGATGTCAACGTAACAGAGCAAACTTGGGTTTCAATGTCGAGAATGCGGTTCTATTTAAAGGAAGATTATTCACTTTCTGATCATGCATGTTCTCGAACGATATTATGATAATTTTTTTGTCACTTCTGGAGTCGGACATGATATTTATTGAAGATAATCGAAGTAACCGAATAAGGTCAACAGTCGCTTGCATGGACAACATGTTTTTTCATGACTTCTTTATGCACGTGCCACCATGTTTCGTTTGAGCCTTTTTGTTCTAGACTGCAATAGAAAGAGAAACTGGCAGAAATGGAAATAGAAGGGAGAAAGAAGTAAATTGTGTATACAGCGAATTTGCAATCCCCTTATGTAATTTGGTGAGATTGTAAGCTTCTTTCTTTTAACTTTTTGCTGTACATAATACGTATATTCCTCGATGGAATTAGGGAACTGTAAGAAATCCAATTAAGCCCTCATTTGATTCCCCTTCTTATAAGAATGTGAATGAAAAATATATTCGTTATGGATCCATACAAAGATATAGAAAGTCAAATATGGTGACTTGATATGATAGATAACGATCATATTTTTCATTTTTGTGGTCAAAGAATGGGAAACAAACGAGCCCTATATGTAAAACTGAATATTTAGAAATTTTTATTTGTATTTACTTCTTTTACCCTCAACCCATTTTCGAAAAGAATAAATAGTGGAGTTCAATATCTTTGATATTTTTTATTTTTTTCAGGGGGATTGTGCCCGATGGTTTAACCTAAAAAAATTAATAAAAATTTAAATTTAAGTTAATATTTTCAAAACGTTTATTAATTTTTTAATTGCACCTTTAATCAATTTTTATTAAAATGTAGGTCACGTGTTTAACGCGGTAGGCTAGAAACTGAACATTGGAATGGGCTCATTCACCTGGTTGAAAGTGTTTAACGTTTTATTTGAGGCCACTAATGTTCGTTTAGTTGTCAATTCTTGTCCCTCTTCTTTTTTCTTTAATGAAATGAAATAAAATTTCTTGACCTCTTCCAAGTATAGAATTGCTTATTTTGAAGATATGCTTGACATATAGAATTAGATAATTCAAAATGTAGTATTTATGGTTACAAAACTTTTTGATGAAGCGAGACATCCCACGTGGGAGAAAATCTTAGTTACATGAACTATCCAGTTACTTAATTCCCATGCAAGATTAGCAAAGTGATACCTGCTGGCTACTCTAGAGTTAATATAATCAATGATCACTGAACTTCACTATAAATTACTATTTACTCACCGAATTATAAAATGTTACTCTTTGCTCACTAAACTTTACTATAGATAACTACTTGTTCATCGAAATGTAAAAGATTACTTATTACTCGCCCAAATTTGTACAAAGTTATCCATCAATTATACATATCATTTCTATGAGTGTTACCTATTGCAAAATTTAGTGAGTAACAAGTAACTTTATTCAAATGTAGATGAACAATAAGTAACCTTTTAAACTTCGATGAGTAAGTAGTAACCTATAACAAAGTTGAATGAGCAACATGTAACTTTTTATAGATCGGTGAGCAAGTAATAACCTATAATAAAGATCAATGACCATTCATTAAATTATCTCTACGGCTACTCTACCAAAGAATCTCTTAAACAGAAGCCTCTATAATTAACTTATAATTAAGAAAGCTGTTATTGACAGTTAAGAATATATAATCCACAATGCAAAGAAATAGACATAAACAAGATAAATTAAAAGAGCCCATATGGATTCTACACATATCTTCTGTCGGTGCAAAAACTTGAGGCTTGTGGGGCATGGAAAATTTGTAAATTGTGGAGGCACAATATGTGGAAATGATGGTTCCTCTCTACTCTCATGGCTGTGAGAAGAAAGTCAAGAAGGCTTTTGCCAATCTCGAAGTAATTAGCTAGTCGATATTGTTTATCGTGTCGATGGTTTGTCAAACTATCCCTTTTAAAAGATTAAACTTTTAAAGATGTGTATTGAACTTATATATGTATGTCTTCAACGTTTAAAACATGATACATTCATAATTTGCTCAAATGGTAAACGACAAGAGTCGAATTTTAGAACTAATTAATTTGTCGAAAGCATTCATAAACTATTATCATAAAATCTCTATTTGCTTGATACTGTCTCATTTAAAAGTTTAAAGGTAAAAATTTGATAGATTTGATCATTGATAAATTGAGCCTGCCCTGGGAGCCTCATTATTAATTTATTGAATTTTTTACTTAAATTATTATAAAATGATAATTCAATGATAGAAAGCATGTTGAGATGCTATCAATCATTAATAATATTCAAGTTTACGAATCATTTTTTTGTTTTCAGAGTGTATATATTTATCTTTGCATTGCATGCATCATTTAAATCAAGATAAATTCAAATATAGTCTTAGTATACATAAATTTCACTATTTATTCCAATGATTTAGTGATTGAGATATTCTAGGATTTATTGCTCGAACATTGTTAGATCAATACGATTAGCTGCATCAATTTCTTAGTCATGCTTCAAAATTAATAAATAATTTTATTTTAACAATAATCACCGTCATGCTATCAAAGTAATAAACTTTTTTACTAAAAAATGTAACTATGAGATTAAATAAGCATACCTTAAATAAAAAGTAAATTAAAAATCTAAAAATTGTTAATCTTGGACAAACAAGTCAGTTAAATCTTCGATATGAAGTTTACTAGAAAATTATTCGATTTATTAAAAGATGCGAAAAGATTCACATTCAATAACAAGATCACATGATTAACATAGAAATATGTTTTTCTAACTTAACATGAAATTTACAACATTTATTGATCATTGGATGAAGTGAAATGAACCATAATAAAAATTATCAAGAAAACAAAAAGTAAAATGGAATTTGAAGAAATAATATGCAAGTATTTGCGGTCTCGGGCTAATAAAATTCTTATTGGACTGAAAAAGAAATTATGAAAACCAAGAAGGATGTCCTTGTAAATACTACATTAAATATGGCGAAAGCAACAAAAGACGACCGCAGACCTCTCCGTCTCGCAACACTTCGCTTAGAAGGAAAAGAATAGTACTACTCATAGGGAGAGACTCAAAGCTCTCTACACTTCTTCTCCGGTATGATTTTCGTTAAATTTCCTTTTTCCTGGTCAATTTTAATTTTAGTTGAATGGTTTTTGTTATCAATCTTATGCACTATCTAGTTATTTCAAGATTAGTAGTAGTGGTTTCTTTAGTCTTTGTTTATCGAAGATTCTTGATTTCTTTTTCTTGAATTGACTTTCTTAATTATGGGTTTGATTTATACACTTGATTTAGTAAATTACTGGAATAATTTTTTGTTTCTTGATTATGACTTTGATTAATCATAATCTGATGTAAACTTTTACTGGGTTTTGATTGATCAGTTGATGTAATTGTTTGTTACGCACCAAGAAAATGATGGGTTTAGGGTCTTTGGGCAGTGGAGTGGGAGGAAACTCATCGTCATCAACCTCAAATTTATCAGCTTTAGCCCCGCCTTTTACTGTTGAAAGATCAAACCCTAAACTCAATTCTATCCCAACTTTGCATTTCTCGGATTCATCATATGCTACTGCACCCGATGGCCAAACATGGCAATATCCACTCCCTTCGGCCCCTGGACCTGAATTAAATATTGATTCGACAATAGTTACTAGCTTCCCTTTCACGTATTCCAGTCGCGGGCCTATCAGCCCACCTAGTACTGATTGGTCTGTGCCCGTTAGCCCTCCTGGTTCGCATTGGTCTGCTTTGAGCACTAATGCTAAAACTTCGCCTGATGCGTTTTCATATGCTGGTGAAGTCAAGCCTTATTATTCCTCTTATGTTTCTCCTATAGTTGGCAAAGCTAGTCCATCCTTCGTCGACTATGGGCCTTTTTATGATCTGAGGCCCACTGCTGGACCAGATTTATCCCCTCAAGTCGATTACACTCAGACCTTGTCTGGCTTGGAATACACTCCACAGTGGGATGATGCTTGGGCATTTGAAGATGAGAAACAGGCAAAACAGGTAGAACTTGATGGGAGTTTTACTTCCAAGAAGGTGAATATTGGTGATTCACTTGTTTCCAAAAGTTATATTGGCCCAGGTATGCTTTTTATTCATTCTAGAACTTGATTATTTGTGAGGACACGAGTTTGTATTTTAGTCATCGATCTTGCATATTAAATTTTGCTATTCTTTTTTGAACAATTATTTATGGTCTCATTTCCTTCAATTACCCTTAGAAGTTAGTATTCCGTACGAACTATTTAATTCTCTTTCCAAAAAACAGTAATAGTGTGTTTAGTAGCGAGGATTGGATAATAGTGTACATTATTAAGGAAGAAAATAAACTTAAATCTAATTTATTACATTGTGCAATCTGACTTAGCACTATGTGCTGCAATCATGGAGGGGCTGGAGGACACTGTTCCATCTGGAGCAGTATATTGAATATGTGCGCTTTTCTATATGGAGGACCTAAAGAAATATGAAAGAGAGAAAGAATACAAAATAGCCTGTAAAACAATAGTAGCATGTGATTTTATTTTAATCTTATCATCTAAAGCACCGAAATTGTTTAAAAGAAGCTCACCTCATCTTCTCACTGTAAAGATTAACCAGTTCCAGTATCAAAGAAGATAAATGGGAAGCCAAATGAAAAGAGATTGATTCCTAGTAGTAGAATCACACTATCATATCATGAATGAGTAGATAAATGAAATAGAACCCTAACAATTCATCTGTAGGATTGACTAAGGCAGTCATGAATATTGATGCTTTATCTCTAGCTGCTTCCGGGCTTTCGATGATTTTGGTTTGTCATACAGTTAGCGTTTGTTTGGGAGAGATATTGTGAATGAACTCTTTTTGTTTTTTCATTTTTATGTTTATTTTTATTTTTTTGGCGAAATGTGTGGTTTAAATGCTTCCAGCAAAAAATGATTTCAGAAAAAAATCTCTCCCAAACATACCCTTTGGAATTTTGTTTCTGCTGGCCCTGGAAATATAAATGTGTTCAATTGATTGAGGAAGGATTTTGAGATTGTGTATTGCAATACAAGAAAAATCTTTTACACGTCTTGGGTCTAATGTGTGATAGAATATTAAAGCATATATGCATGCCTATCTGATATTGTTCAAAACATAAATGTATTAGTGGTATTTTTGTCTTTATTATATACCTTTTTTTTTTCTCTCGCTCTTCACAAACTTTGTACATCATACTCATTTATATTTTCTTGCTAATTTACAAACTATTCATTTTAATTAATATTTGTCTATTCTTCATGTCAATCTTTCTTTAAATTACCCAAAATTTCTTCTTTGTTAGAATCTCTCCCTCTCCCTCTCCCTCTCTCTCTCTCTCTCTCTCTCTCTGTTACACACACTTTCTGCTATCATGCAGGAGTTCATAGTATTGGATACGGGAACGACTGTAAAGAAAATTTTGGTATATCATATGGAAAACTCAATCATATTTCCAGAAGAGAAAGCTATATTGGACATATGGATGACAAATCATGCTTGGAGCAAAATCTTAGCTTCCTTCCTTATGAATCTTCTAGAATGCCTACATTGATGTCCGGTTCAGCATATCCAAAATCTCTCCCTCTAGAGCTGTCTCTTGAACAGTCTAGCAACTTCTCAGACCATCAAAAGCTGAAAAATCCATATGAAAAATGTTTGGAACCCCTTGAATCTTCCTTTAGTGGTTCTATATCAGTAACAAGATCTTCCCCAGCTGTGGTCATTAGGCCTCCACCTTCCGGAAACAGTTCATTGGCACAAAACGCCACTCCTAAAACAGTGGACATTGACAATATTTCGGGTGTCCACAATGGTGAATTTGATTACAGTAATAGTGCCAAACAGAATGACCCGTGCGTAAGACCAGTAGAAGGTTCCTTTGACACAGGACAATTCACATCTCATAGAAAAGGTAATGATCACATATTGTTTGCACCGCTTACAGTGAAGGAATCATCGAGCCAAGTGCACTCTAAGGAAATGTCAGATCTTAAAACCAAAGTGGGATGTGGATCTCGTCTGCACAATATAAATGTCTCAGATGGCTTCTCTTTGGCTGTTAATGGTTTTCAAGTTGTGAAGTCTACTGAGAATTCTTCAGATAGCATAGATAATTATGCTCCTGCAGTTGACTCGCCTTGTTGGAAAGGAGCACCCGTTTCTCACTTTTCGCCGTTTGATGACCTTGAAGTTGGCAAGTCACCTCGCACTAAGAAGAAATCGGAAGAGTTTTTTGATTTTGATCATGAAGCCCAAAAGCTTTTCCTCTCATTAAACGATTCCAAGAGAGCTTCCTCTCAAAAAGCATTTGGAGACAGAAACTGTGATGAAAATCGATGTGCAGAAAATATTATGCCACTTACTTCTGAGAGAAGCTGGGATGCTAATTGTCCAACTATAGAACAGGGTTCAACTGACGCTTTAAAAGATGGATTTGAGATTTCTTCTATGAATAGAAGTAAAGGAGTTCGGATATCTAATCCCCTTGACAAGCCTAAGAAAGAATCTGTCCCAAATGACTCAATGAGTGGTTACGACCAGAAAATATCCAATGCAAAGCATTCCATTGCTGAAGTGAATGATATCCCATATGTGAAGCTTGGTTTACAGGCTAGTGCTGCTATTAATTTGATGACCTTTAATGATGCTTCGGAAGGTGGCGATGTTGCATTTCATGCTGCGGAAAATGTTTTATGTTCACCTTCTTCACAGGAAGATGCCTTTGAGGATGAAAAAGTAGAGCCCAATCCAAATTTGGATGTTCAAACAACGATAAATGCAATTCATGCCCTTTCAGAGTTTCTTGTGATGAATTCTACAAATGATACATTTGCTCTGGAAGAACAAAACTGTGATGCTCTTAAGCACGTGATCAGCAATCTTGAGGCATGTATGATGAAGAAAATTGTTCATAGAACTTTGAATAATGAACCAATTGTTTCCGTCGGAGACATTTCGGGTAAAATTGTGGATATCCATGATATGGTATGTCATTTATGTGATATTTGGACTTAATGCCTACTATTAATATTCCATTTGGAAAAATTTATAAATCATTTATAAATGGTCTAACTTTTTTTTCAGCTGCACATTCGAATGGATCACAAGTATTATCCACTTATCTCTCTATCTGCCTCTAATTCTATCTATTTATAACTGTTCATAAATTCTTCCCAAATGGAGACAAAGTTAACATATTAGGATATTGCACGGAAATATAATCATGCTTGTCCTCCAGTCGATTCTTATAAATTCTTGTTTACTGTGACTTGATCTTTGTTCCTGAACTTTTAGTTTCTATTGTCTTTGGTTGTCCGTGTGTGCATAAATATAGTATATCCCATGTCTGGGATCTTTTGAATTTCCTGTATAAGCATTATCTTTCTTTAATAATACGCTAAATAATTCCTTTTATCAGGCTACTGTTGCAGGCAAGCCTCAAGTTACAAATGAAGCTCTAAACTCTCACGTGCAGCTTGATTATCAGCAAATGCATGAAGAGAAGAGAGGTAACCTTTTTCCTGGTAAGAAAGCTGAGAGTTCATCACTTGTTTCACCCTTAAGGGGTGATGCAGACTTATCAACAGATGACAACATGGCCCAGGTATGCTATTATAGCATGTTTGGTAAGGTCGACAACATTATGAAAGAAAAATTAGCTAAAATCTTGTCCATTTTACTTGTGAAGTCTAATGTTGTATACCAAATATGCACTTTGCTTCTAATTGTAGTTTTGGAAGGATCATTGTGTTGCAGAAGTACAAAATTAAAATCATTTGCATGTAATACAAAGTATGATCATAGGTATTGTTGGCTTGTAGGCTATAAAGAAGGTCCTCGATGAGAATTTCCTCTATGATGAACAAATGGACTCGCATGCACTTCTCTTTAAAAACTTGTGGCTCGAGGCAGAGGCTAAATTATGTTCCATCAGCTATAAAGCTCGCTTTGATCGAATGAAGATTGAAATGGGAAAGTTCAAAACCAAAAAGGAAGAAGGTTCGCATTACTTTTTGGTGAAACTTGTGTTGTTATCTTGCCATCCATTAATTGGAAGCTGTTAATGTTCTCAGGAATAGCGCTGTTGTTGAGAGGATGTTGAATTTTCAGATTTCACCTAATCCAAGCACAGATTCCAATCACCCACCTGCGGATCAAGATGGTGCAATTCCCAAACCTACAGTCCAGAATGCTTCTGTTCCTAGCACAAGTGGCGATGTTGCATCGGTGATGGAAAGATTCCACATCTTAAAATCTCGGAATGACTGCAAAAACTCAGTAAAGACAGGAAAGGAAGAACTGCAAGAAACGGATGATTATGAGTATGCGGGTTCTAAAATCACTGCCCATGGCCATGGTGATAATGTTGAGGCATCCGTCATGGATAGATTCCGCATCTTGAAATCACGGAATGACAACTCGAAACTAATAAATATGGAAGATGAACAACAGCACAAGATTGATGATTTTGAGTATATGGGTGAGAAAAACCTCGGGCCATGCACAGAAGACAAATCAGACGGTGAAAACTTAAACGTGGACGTGGAAACTCATTTCCCCGAACGAGCTAGCAGTCTGAGTGAAGGCCAGTTTGGCTCTTTTGTTGACGTGTCTGGATATGATTCTGTGAAAGATTTCCGTCGCTCTGTGAGAAATGATCCGGTGGTCCATTCATTAACTAATGACATGCTGAGAAATCAATTTTCTTCAGGATGGTATGATAATTCCACTTCAGATTGGGAAAACGTACTCAAAGATGATTTTGCATGGAAAAATTGAGAGTACCATGAAGCAATCTCTCTTTCTGTAATTTGTCTACTACATGAACAGTAATCCATACTTCTAAATTAAGAAACGTTATTGTATAAAGTATTTTAAGCATGGATTTCATAATCTCTATGAACTTGTTTATGATTTTGAGTTATTGCGTGTATTGGTATATTGGTGTTTTTTATTTGAATGAATTCTCTCCTTGCAAATGATTTGGAATAAACGGCTATTTCTTTTGTTACTTGACCCCTAATTAGGATCTAAATTTCATTCTTAATTATTGTTTTTGAACTAGAATAACATTAGGATTCCGATTGACATCCATTAGGAATATAGTAAAGGAATATGCTGTGCTATTTGTATATAATGTGGTATCCATAATGGTGTCTACCCTCCTTATATGGAGAGAAATCTATTTTGGATAAATTATATTTTAGTTGAAGTGGGTCCTTCTCAATTAGGGAGGGGGGAGAGGGGGTGAAATCCATTATGAATACCCTGACGTACGTGTAGCATCACCCTATAGTAAATATTGCAAGCGTTTAAACTAAATTTCCATTTCTAGGAACAAATTAACACAAATCTCACCCAAAATGAAAAAAGAGCTGCTACGGTATCATCTAAGATCTAAGCATTCACTTCAAAACTAAAGCTCGAATTTAGGTCTTGGATTAGTCAGAGCTATATTTCCTGATTTGAAATTCACCCAGAAAAGTCTTTGTGCATGCTACTATAACGGTGCCGAAAACTCCCAAGGACTTCGCGCCACATTAATAGTATAGCACAATCGTCAAAAATTAATTCACTTGACTCAAAAATTCAATATCAAGTTTACCAAAGGTACTGCTCTTTCAAGTTCTTGAATTTTGAATGCATATTTTATACGTGGTACTACATAGGAATGGAAATGTAATTGACACAATTTTGACTTACCTTTTCTTCTTCACTACTATTCAATCTATTTATTGTTCAGTCATGTCTTGTATATTAAATTAAGTTAATCAAGAAGGATTACAAATATGTTATGATGTTTATTTTCATGAGTTTGTTGTACTTTTTCTAGTCATTAATCTGTTAGCACATTCATAAATATTGACACGACACATTATTGTCGTTATTTGATAACAAATCATTCAAAAACACACTTTCAACTATTAAAACTTAAAAGCGCTTACAAGATTGAATTTTAACCTTTGCATATTTTCTTTTGTTTATTTGTATTTTTATTCAGTATTTGACTAATTGAGCTTTGCAATGAAATATTTATTGGATGTCGTGCAAGATATTGACGTGCCTATCAACTTAAATTACTCCATAATATACAAATATTTCTATTGAATTTGAAGTAAACATATAATATCTTTATTTTATTATACTTGGAACTCTTATATAAGTAAAGATTTGTTTTCGAAATATCATATTTTTTTAATGTAAATTTTATTAAATTAATTGATTAATAATTAGACAAGATTTGGAGATTAAATCAGGTTATGTAATAAAATAATGAGTTTTTAATTAGTTGTAAATATCCCCTAGATTCTTTATATGGATATGAGTTGAATTCAAATTTTGGTGTATCTCAGATAATAACATCATCTAAACAATGATACAACCTGATTTATTTAATTATTTGTCTCCGACAAAGTTCAAATTGGTTTTAATACACAAACGAGCAACGGAATCATACATTTAACACACATAAAATATACAATTCTTGAAATGAAATCAACATTAAGGGAAAACCCTTAATTTTTAATTCTTGAAAAGTTCCAAACAGTGTTCTTGATCCAGGTTCCTGCCCCAGTATTTCTTGTAATATTCTGCATATGTGTAGTCTCTATAAATGGGTGGAGATCCACTAATGGTGAGTTCCTTTGGTGCATTAATTACAGCATCATTGGATGGACATAGGAATGAAGCTACTGAAATTCTTGGTTTATCAGCATTTACTACAGCTCTATGCCAAACACTTTTGTATTTCCCATTACTCACTGCCTGCATAAATATATAGTCAGCTCTAGAGTTGTCACTTTACAACTTTTAGATATGAATATAAATTCGATGGGTTCACTTAGTCGACCTTAAACTTGAATTTCTCAATTCGACTAGGAAAAAAGTAAAATCAAGCTTAACTTCACCTCGACTCATTTGCGACGTACCTGTAATTGATCACCGATGTTGATAACAAGAGCATTTGGGAGGGGTTTGACAGCAAGCCATTTGCCATCCTTGAGAACTTGCAGGCCTGAAACTTGGGTGTCCTGAAGAAGAATAGTGAAAGAATTTGGGTCTGCATGGGCCGGAAGCCCATAAGTGAGTTCGGGCTCTGGACATGGTGGATAGTAGTTAATAGACATGTGCTGTCCTGTCTCGCCCAAAATCTTCTCTATGCAATCTTTTTCCAGGCCCAAACTTTCTGATATGGCCTGTTGCAATCTCAGCCCAAGGAATCGAATTTTGATACAGTATTTGCCTACAATTTCCCTTCCAATTCCAAGATTCAACATTGGATTACGAAAAGATGAAAAATATTAGCATTCATATAATTTAATTAACAAATTTAATATGCGAATATATTGAAAATTAATAAATAAAAGTTGGAGTTTTATATAATTGATATAATTTATGTAAGAATCTATTTATTTAATCCTACGTGTCGCAGTAACGACAATAAGTTCGACCTAATGTCAACAAACTTTTAACAATTGAAAACTTAATTTAGACAATAAGTTCAATAAACATTAAAAAATTAATTTATATGTCGATTTCCATTGTCTGCCGAAATCTAGATGTGTTGATTCAGATCGTCATAGGCACACACCATATTCTTTGAAATAAAAAAATGATGTGTGTACAGTGCAGCACTCTCCCAATTGTGGGGGGACGCGATTATTTTAATCGTGAGCCCCACTTTTTTTTATGTGAGATGACTGTCAATCAAAATGTCAAAATTGCTGTATTTGTAACATCGTCCTTTGAAATAATATCAATTTTAGTGATGTGAATAATTAGCTCTAATTATTTAATAATGACTTGTCACTCTCTATAAAGACGATGATGATGTCAACGCGCTTAAGTGATATAACTGAGCGTACGTGTCAAAAGCATGACAAATATTTTCAAGATGATGACATAACCTATCTGACGTCATTACAAACTAACGGCACAGAACGGCGTGAAGTCGTACCCACATTTCTTTATGGTAATAAATATGGCTCCCTTTGGAAAGGATTTTGAAAATTAATTTTTTCACCATTTGAAGAAAAGTGAGGTCCATTTGTGAGAGAAGAAGTTGAAAATTACGGTTAAAATAGTGAAATAACGGTCAAAAAATCAATTTTTTGGGGTAAAAAATTCCCTCTCAAACATGCTCTATATATATATTTTAAAAGTTACTTTCCCACCTCCCACGAGCCAATTTTTTAACTTTTTTTTCCTTTATTTTTTTGTTAAAAAGGTCCCCTCTAAACAGGTATTAAAATTAGATTTTTGAAAATTTTGATGAATGCATAATTTCGTGTAAGTCGTCAAACTTGTATAATATTTCAAAGGTTAAAAAGTAGAGTTTTTTTATTATTTTAAAATTAAAATTTGATAGTTGATAGAAACTTCATTGTAAAATGAGTAATTCTATACAATTTTTACCAATCAATTATTGTTTACTAAAACTTTTATGATGTTGCGTCATTTTATTTGTGTACTGTAATTTAACTTTAAAGACTATAATAAGAAATAAAACAAGTATCTTGAGACACCCTGCTATCTACTACCCCCACACTCAAGAGTTCGAATCCTGAAATATGGATTTGGCTCTTGGGTAAGTGCAAGTGTACAAGCAGCCTTTCACCCTGTACTCTTGGAAGCATAACCTGCGATTTACCCCCCTCACGATGTTCCAGGACAGGGGCGGTAAGGGACCCTTAAGGTTGGGGTTCAACTTTTTTTTTTTTTTTTTTTTTTTTTTTTTTTTTTTTTTTAAAAAAAGTATATTTTTTTTACATAAAACGAGAATAATGGTCCTAATGTCCTATGTCCAACATGTGACATTTCTTTATTTGTAATTGCAGCACAAAATTCCCGTACTATGACACAGTTTGCTTCGTAAAAAATGGTTTATCAAAATAATAATAAAATTGCCACTTTATTCCATTTTCAATTCTATAGTAATAAATGGCACAAGTTGTAAAGTGATCCATAAAATGTGCAAAAGTGAACACAATTTCGATTCCTTTCACCAATAAAAAATAAAAAAAATAAAAATAAAAACCAATGAATACGACGTCCAAAATATTATTTATTTCTTTACTTTGAGATTCTTCATGTGATCTTTAAAACATACTTTAAAGAACAACCCGAACATAATACTGTACATCAGTCAATAACACGTTATGACGTATTTTCTGTTGCATGAAACAGTTGCATGCATCTCATGAAAATCAATATAAATCAAGCACCCAAGTAAGTTTTTCTTAGTGATTGATATTAATCAACCTATACACTAAAATTTTTAAAAAATATTAAATTTTAATAGGGTTTGGAAATATAATAAAGAATTTTTCTTACTTTTCAAAGAGTTTTTCTGTGGGAAGGTCGAAAAAAATTGAGAATAAAAAAAAATAACGTTCTTACTTGAAAGTTGAGGGATTTGAAGGCCATTCAGATGCATATTTCTCCAAAGGATAACAATGGAGTCTAAGATAATCTCTCCAGTTATGGACCGTCTCCTTCATCACATTAGAACTTGTGGACAATCTCACAGTCTTGAAAGGGTCCTCGGAATATAATTTCATTTTTTCTTCCAATGGTAAAGTGAAAAATTCATCAGCCACATTCAGCATTTTCTCCATTATTTCTTCTGATACTCCATGATTTATAACCTGCTAATTCAGATACAAATAAAGCAATTATTACAAAAATAATTGTTAATGGTAACTATACGTGCATCAGGTCTTGCTTATATACCTGAAAAAAGCCATAATCACGACAGGCGTCTCCTATTTGTTGGATTATAAAGCTTTCATCTTCACAACCAAGATCTATCACCGGAACTTTTTCACAGTCGGTAACCTCCAACAGTTTTGGCCGCTCCGTCACCGGCCGGACATAACTAGTTGGAAGAGTCGAGTATTTGATTCCATTAGAGACGACTTTTGTTTCCAACAACATGTTGAACTGAACTATTCAGAAGGCACTTCTAAGGTAAAGATTTTGGATGGCTGGGGATTGCATATAAATGGCTGAGGGGAGAATAGAATGCATTAGAAATAGGGTTAAATAAATCGATGACCATCCAACTTTGTATTTAGTATCACTATGATCACTCAATTTTATATTTTTAAAAAATTATTTTTTAAGTAATGTTTTTTATAAAATAAGTTTTTTATTTTATTTTTTAAGTAACCTTTTTAATTAATTTTTAATTTTATTATATTTTTAAATTTTATTTTATATATAATGCAAAGTTATTATTTTACTCTTTTCAAAATTAGTAAAAAGTGTGAAAATAAGATTTGTGGCCATAGTGAAACATTAAATGAAATTAGGTGGCCATGGTGAAATAAAATCAAAATGGATGGCGATGGTAATACTAAATATAAAGTTGGATAGTCATGATGAAATAAAATCAAATTGGTTGGTCATTGTAAAACTAGATACAAAGTTGGGTAGTCATTGGTGGATTTAACACACTAGAAATAGAATTGACTTGGTTTTGGTCTTTCTTTATTGAGTCAGATATAATTAATTACAATTTTATTTTTATTCTAATTATGAACATTTTATACGCACGATGTCATGGACCTGGAGATGAGAGAAAGAAAAATTAAAATTTTTTCCATGCGTATGAAATTCGATCGTCTTGCCATATTAGTTTAAAAGAAATGAATAAAAGTGTTATTGAAACATTAACGGAGAACCAAAAAACGAAAAAAAAAAAAAAATTTCATTTTATTTTTATTTTTTTTATAAAAACATTGTCATCAACGATCATATTATTAGTGTATAAAAAAAAAAAAAAAAAGGTTATTAGTGCAACAAAAGTAATTAGTGTATAAAAATAAAAAAATATATATATATAAATAGAGCTTATTTCAAAAAAAAAATGATGAAAATAGAGAAAAAATAAATATATACAAACTTTTAGTTAATATTAGCAGTAAGTAAACGATTTAGAAAGTAGATTGATGAGCAACAGAGGTGGACCCACAAGGGGTCATGTGGGGTCAAATGACCCCACAGTTTTCTGAAAATTTTTTTTTTTTTTTTTTTTTTTTTTGCTGGAAACTTAATTTTGTCCCAAAAGGTCCAAATTCTAAATCTATATACATATCACATGTTCCATATCCATTATTTAGTCCGTAGATATATCATATAATCCACTGATTTCTTTCCAAAGTGCAAACACCGAATATGAACAACAAATAACCGATTTTTTCTTTTTGTTCATGATACGTTGTTCGAAAAAAAAATTTGACCCCACAGTTCGAACTGTTTGGGTCCGCCCCTGATGAGCAAGATGGAGAAAGAAATATTGTGCGCATTCAAACATAAATCATACGCGTGATACTTGATATCTAGGTATGTACTTCAACACAAATTTATTTAAAATTAATAATAAGTTGTAAATATAGTATAGTTGACATGAGTTAGAATCAGAAAATAGAATGTTATTTCAACATGGTATAATTTTGATTAATACTACTAAGTTTCACAATTACGACGAGAGACAGGGCTTGTGCTAAATGTAGAGCTACAATTCAATGTATGAGAGCATACAACGAAGGAATGTTATAAAAAGAGGAAGTATGAAGAATGTTTGATTCGTCTCAAAATATATCTAAATACGAAGATCGTCGAAAAAGGTTACAAATTGGTTGCATGGAATTTCATAAAAACAAGAAGCCCTTTAAATCAAATTAATAATATCAAATGGAGCACTCTATTTCCTTGTTAATTGTGAATAATTTGGGAAGAAAGAAATTTGGAAAATTTCAAATGACAAGTCAATGATAATTTTCAATTTCACAGAAGCATATGGAAGCTTGTTAAGGACATTCGACAAGCTTTTTTAATTAATAGAAGAGACGCAATTAAATTAAAAAAGAAATAAATTAATCATATTAGTTTTTTTCTTATGATAAAATCCTGTTCACAATCTCCACAACTGCAGAAATTTGTGGTATATTAGAGACAACCAAGAAAATTCAATCATACATTCTCGCAAAATTCATTTTTCACATTTCTCCATAATTTTTCGACACATTTTAACCATACATTTACCAAATAAATATTTTTCAAAGAATCACTTCTTAGAAAATCTTTATCAATCAAACGCTAAGACCAAAAAAAAAAAAAAAAATGTTGTGCAGATCATCTTGTTAGAGAGATCCTACGTCAATATATATATATATATACACGCACACACATTATTTTTCCAAAATAATCCACCGAAATCTAAGAGTTGGTTTGTATTTTTATTTTATTTTTTTCCGTGTAGCATAAAATAAAGTATATTCTTTTCCAGAATATTCAAAGGTACAAACTTTGTTTAAAATTTTAATATTAATTTAAATGAAAGGAATATTCCACTCCAAATTACACTCTCACGACATGATATTTGAAGAATATCTATTGTCAACTTTGTCGTATTTACAATGAGAATACTTTCTTTTAAAAAAAAAATTTCCAAAATAATCCACCGAAATCTAAGAGTTGGTTTGTATTTTTATTTTATTTTTTTCCGTGTAGCATAAAATAAAGTATATTCTTTTCCAGAATATTCAAAGGTACAAACTTTGTTTAAAATTTTAATATTAATTTAAATGAAAGGAATATTCCACTCCAAATTACACTCTCACGACATGATATTTGAAGAATATCTATTGTCAACTTTGTCGTATTTACAATGAGAATACTTTCTTTTAAAAAAAAAAATTGAAGATTGTATAACGTTACAGACAAAAAAAATAAAAATTTAAGATAATAACACTAAATCCAGCAATATAAAACATATAATAGCCAAAAGTTTTAAAAACTGATGTATTCTGTGGAAATTAAGTCGAGTTTAAAAAAATATTCAAAAAATCAAAGAATGAAATGTGGACTTACAAATCTTTAACATCTATCCCAATTCAATATCGTAAAAAATAAACTAAATCTAAAAATTAAATTATAAGTCGAATCTCAAAATTGACATAATTACAGCTTTATCCAACTCCTAATAAGAGTCGAGGACGGACCAGAACTGCGACAGTCGTCAAAGACTCTCACAGTCCCCGCACTCCGTCCACTTGATTTCCCCACAGACAAAATCCAATTTCACGCGTTGACGGAAAAGACAACCTCAAATCAAGACATATGCCCGAAAAACACGTTTTAGAAATTCTTTTTCCCACAAATTACGTAATTGAAGTCATTTTCTAATATTTTTGTCTTAATCCTTAATTCTCTCTGTCCCCAAACCCGTAGGATGTGTCATTGATGTCACATGGGATAATTTTAACTTTTAAGATTGTCCGGCAGAATAGAAAAAAATCACATGCCAAGTTGAAGAAGTTATAAGAATATATGGTGTATTCAGATTTTGAGTATTGACTAGTTCGAAGGTGTATTTTAAGTCATGAAAGACTACAAAACATTATTTGTTCGTATATTTGCATTTCGATTTCTAATATTTTTTATATGATAGAAGTAGAAACATGTGGAAATAAGTCATATAGTCCGATTATATTATTATAGTCATTTTCAATTTATTTTCTGACCGTTCAAGTTAAGCTTGTTGTTTTGTCATTACGTTAAGATTGAATCTTGACCAAAGATCAAGCAGACATAGTCCCTATTTAACGAAAGTTTTTCGAGATTATAAATTGATCAAATTTTATTTTTAATAATTGGACTCACAACTTTAGTTCACTTTTAACCACAAATTTCATGTGCCATCTCATAATCTCAATTTTTTATTTTTTATTTTTTCAGTATGGGAGATAATGATGTTTGATTATAGCGAAACTCGAAGAGGGCATGTGCCCCTTGAGATAAATGATTCTTCCTTGTGTTCTTAATGGAATAAATTGAACTCTGTTTCTAATGATCAAGAGGCCTATTATATAACTCAATCACATATACTCCTTTGGCAATTTGTATCAATTTGTCTTCA